GTTGGGGATAGGAGTTTGGATACGCCTTTTACAGATCAAGATAAGGATTGTTGGATGAAACCCATAAGGGTACCCGCCATGCCTCTACATTGATAAGTTCGGATATACCTGTAAACAGTTAAGAAGATCCAGGAGACCTCAATATTTGAGAACATAGTAGTCGATGGTTGGTAATTAGTCTATCAGGTATCAGAAAAGGGTCAAAGGTGATATGGCAGAAGAACAATTTGGATGCTCCCCATCTCGAGGAAGCACTAAAGATGATCATCGGCAATTAAACCCTAGTGGCATAGATACAGATAGCAAGCAATGTATTTCCTTGAAGGTAGTCAGTGCAGCTTTTTGACGAACCACATCAAGGTTTCACTGAAAGGCAGCAAGCCAAAGGACCTCATCGTCCCCAGAAGCGTCCGCAATCCACATTAAAGAATACCACATGTTAGAGATAAGCCGAAAGATGATTGATAAAAGAGATTGGCAAAGATGTTCTCTAGCAGGAAAGAAGTAGGCCGAAAGGTGATTGATAAAGGATAAACAGAAACATGCTCTGCATCGCTCAAGGAAGACCCCTGATCGTAATTGCCCCGCAACAGTCACCTGGTCATTGAGGCATGATGAAGTAAGCAAGATGACCTAGGTAAAAGTGTTTCTTTGAAGGCAAGGAATGAAATCTTTAACTCGGTATCAGATGCTACACGGAGTGAAAAGTGCAAGCACCAGTTACCAGGCAATGCCATGTCTTGGGAGATGATCCAATGGGAAAGAACACATCAAGGTTAGAGGTGTAAAGGAATACGTTGAATGCTAACTAAGGACAACCTGAAGATAATAGTGGGAAATAAACTGAATGTAAAGAAAGTGAATCCGAGCTGCTTGTTCGTGGGAGCTATTCCCAGTTATGAACCAAGTGATATGTTCGAAGATAGTCTACAGAGGTCAGACAACGAAGCTTCAGATTTGGCAGGATACGATTAAACAATAAGAAGTCCAGCAGTAAAGCCATTTGGGAAGACGTCAAAGCATGTCAAATGGGAGAAGTTGGTTCAGTTGAGAAACATAATTCAAAGGCAAAGTTATCGACCCTTGCATCGAATAGCAGAAGTAGCTAGCACCCGGAGAGCAAGAAAGTTAATATGAGGCAGTTGGTGGCAAGTTAGAAGTAAATGACAAGCATGGTATCTTAGTAATGACAAGCTAGTGTTGACGCATGACATGAAGTGGTAACTTCTATGAGGTTGACGCCAAAGATATGAACTATGCGAAGTTCTGGAACTGAAGCCCCATCTTCAAGTGCCGCAACCCAATCGAAGTCAGCTAAAGGTTCAACCAGGGACAAGTCAGGTGAAGAGAAGATTCCATCTGCAACAATGGATCGGGCCAAGTAGTCCAGAGTGGAGATGTTTTGTTAGGCAAGTTTGTTATAGAAGACGGAGCATAAGAAGTCCACCAAGAAGAGAAGACCGCCCAACCTATCTTCTTGCTAGCCTCCTCGAATCTCGGGGACGAGATTCTTGTAAGGGGGGTGGATTTGTCACGTCCTGATAAATTCATCCCGAATTAAAAATCATTCGCTAAAAGGAATAATAGAATTAATTAAAATTCGAAAAGAAATTGGCAAACACTAAAATACGTACAAGAAAAATTCAAATGTGGCCCGGAGAATTTTTGTTAAATTCTCCTTGGTCTAAAAGGAGCCCTCAAATTTTAGTGGAATTTTCAGAGCACAAATAATAATTAAGAAGAAATAAACAAAGTTAAAATGATTTTATAAAAAGAAAAGCTCTAAAAAGTCATTTTTCCCCCTTCCCCCTCTTGGGCCGGCTCGGCCCATCTCCCTCCCTCTCTCTCCTCCTCCCCGCGGCCCACTCGGCCTCTCCCCGCGCGCGCGCCGCTGACGGGCGGGCCCGCCCGCCACCCTCGCTGACGGGTGGGGCCCACCTATCATCCCTATCCTCCCGCCGCTCCCGCCGCCTCGCCCGTGCCCTAGCGCCGCCGCCGCCGCGAATCCCGCCGCCTCCCGCCGTCCCCGCGCGCAATAAAGAGGGGGAAATCACTCCCCGTGATTCCCTCTCTCTTTCCCCCCATTTTTCCCTCCCTCTCTCCCTCGGATTCGGTTGGAAACCGCTCCCGCAAACCTCGCCGGCGCCATTGATGGAGCCCGAGATCGCCGCGCCGGTTTTCTTCCCCTCCGGCCGTTCTCTCCCCCTCCCAACACTATATAAACGCTCCCCGTGCCTCCTCCGTCTGGTTCCGCCTCTCGCCGCGCTTCCTCCTCGCCGGATTTGAGCTCGCGACGTCGCTCTCTCTCTCCGCCGTCGCCGCCGAGCTCCGGTCCGCCGCCGTCGTCACCCCGGACCGCCTCCCGCCTCGGCGCCGCCTCCTTCGGCTTCGCCGCGTCCTCGCCGACCTCGTCCACCCTTCCATTTCGCCCGCCGACCGCCGGAACGCCGCCGTCCTCGTCGACCCGAGCCGCGCCGCCGCCTTCCTCCGCTCCGGAAGAATAATTATTCTGCTGTACAATACTAATTTTATTTATTAGCATATTTTTAAGTTGACTATTATGCATCATCTTGATATTAATTATTTAATTTTTATAAATATATTTTATCCAATAGTGAATTATATATCATTGGAAAGCTTATGAAATTAGATGAATTTAGGTTCAAGTTTTACTCAAATCGGAGCTGAAATGAATAAGTTATGCTAGCGTAAAGATTCATATTTGAATTAATTCTAATAATTGCGAAATGGTACTGTCCCTAATTCATTTATTTATAATACAACCTTATCCACAAGCTACAGTGACTGACAGGTGGAGTCAAGGTCTTGATTTTCTTTTCATTAACTTTACTATCTGCGAACTACAGCAAACCCAATTCCGATTTAAACTATTTTGCGGGTATAATTATTTTGTTGTCATAAGTTTTTAATTTACTCTTCCCGAGCATTATATCCATATCATAGGTTAGAAATTTCTATTACGAGCTAAATATCGGACGAAATCCTAGAAATATTATACAATTTAATTTAGTCTATGACTAAACGATATAATACACGGCTAAGATTCCTAGTAATTAAATCTGAATTTCTACCGTGTCGTAGACTCTCCGGACCTTCCATTATATTTGAGATGAAGTGAATAATTCAAGTCATCAAACAAGCATAATGAAACATCCGACGCCTCGAGAGAGGAATATTGGAGACATTGCTGGGCCCTTAGCCTGCCTGTCAACTTCAGCCTGAGATGTGCCCGTCAAACCACTCGAAGGCGGCGACCAGATGTGTTACACATTCAGGAGACTTGACAAAAATGGCTAAAGATCTACAACCTCTCAAATATTCCTAACTCATACTCATGTGAATCTAGTTCCCAGGATGTGCACTAGATTCACACTTTCATCTTAATCATGATTACACATAGCAAACACAACTAGGATGAAAGAAACTTAAGACTTACAACAACTTAATAATTACATGGCCGACCGGCCAAATAGACTTATTAGAGAACAGCGGAAGCTTGACTACCCAATCACAAGCACACCGACTAGGGGTATACCCCATTAAGCTCTCATCCTAGAAGAAGCAATCGGAACCCGCATCACTCAAAGACTAAGACTAAACCTGCAAACAAAAGGTTATATCAACAGCAAGAGTCAGTACATTAAACAAGTTAATGTACTGGCAAGCACAAGTCAATCCTACCATACTACATGTAAGGCATATATTCAAAGGAAGGCAATATGTAGTTCAATTTCAGCTTAAAGCAAGTTTTGTTTCGCAATTCTTTTGTAAAGGAGTTGATGCTTCAATTAACAAAGACAAGTTTTAAGTTTCATTATTAACTTCTTCATAATTCCATCATAATCAATCTCTTATTGCCATATTTAACAATAAGTCATAATGTATCACCACACACACAACTCAACACATTTATCAATTTCAAACCAATGTCACATGATCACATTTTTAAAACATAGTCTATACTCATGACACATCACCAAAGCGCTCATGACCGTGAGCACGGCTAATCGATTAGTTTAAAGAACTCTGCAGAGTTTGTACAGCTTTACCCACATGATATGAACTCTCTAGTTTGTTTTGAGTTTGCAAGACTCCACCACACTCTTCATGTTGAATGTGATCTAGAGGTCATAACGAAGCCTTTACACTACTTAGAGCCTAGCCTTGCACCAGCACGATACGTGTTCCTCCATCCTAGGCATACTTGGAATATACCTAGAACCGTTAAGTGGCGGGCCCACGCCTTAAACTTAACGCCGTGGTGGCGGACACGATGGGAACCCACCACGTGGCACAATACCGTTGTATTGGACAGACTTAGTCACCTAAACTACCACGTCGGGGCAAATAGGAAGTTCCTCTGAATCATCGACTAATTCCTCAGAATTATCGACTAACTCATACACACCGGCCTACCAGAATGCAAGGCTAGTCCTAAATAGATTAATCAGCTTAGGCCATCCCATACTAGCACATGTGGATGTACGGATAACTTTAAATGGGTGACACAAGTTCGGTCCTTATGGGCTTGGGCAAACACTTCCCCTATCGGTATGCAACTAACACCATATGCACACCACTTGCCGCCCAAGTATAAAATCACATTTTACACATTTTAGTTCGCAAATACCCATCATATTCATTTTATTCCAGCAAGGGTTCATGTATCAAAATTCACATTTTAATTATAGATGGAATGAGCATTTGCATATTTCTAAGCATGGCTAAGCAAGTAGTTGCACATAGAGCATATATAAACCCATTTGAGCACAATGAATGTACTCTAATCATTTCTAGGGGTTCAAACAGCAAGAGGATCAATTATTCAAGGTGGAATATGCAGCAAATAGGTCATAACTACCTTAACCCAATTTCAAATACCGATATAGTCTAAGTTCACATGCAACTTTGCAAACAAATATTTTCATTCCTCAAATCATGGGATTCAATGTGTTCAAAGGATGGGAGGAGAAAACTTGCCTTGATCAGAGAATTGTTAGCACCTAATCCACTTCTTCACCGATTATGCAATTATCTAGATAAAGGACACGATATGCAATTAAACACCGAAAGAGCTAAAAATCCAAAATGCTCTAAAATGCATGATTTATGCACAGTGGGTTGGAAATGATCTAAAATGAATTTAGGTGAAATAATTCCTATTTTATTTTATTCCATTTGGGAGTTATGAATTTTAGAAGTTTTATCGGTTTACAATAGTATAGTCTTAGGTAGTGTTATGAAATACTTTTGTAAAGTGATTTTTATTAGATTAGACTTCACAGGGGTGTGGAGATGTGTTTTCTAAGACTAACACATTTGGTTTCACAATTTTTGGAATTATAATGATTTTCTTATAGATTTTACAAGTTACAACGTGTTTTAGGCATATAGTGTTTTATATGTTCATGACTTTTGAGTTATAGGTTCAGAACATGCTACTTCCTGTTTAAGTTGAATAAAAGGAATAATTCGCTTAACTAAAACATTTTTAGTTCACATGTTTATGGTCTTTACTACTATGGTTCATATTTTATAAACTAGAGATGCTCTAATCTAAACTAGCAATATATTATATTAACCTAGAAATTGTTATATGAGCTAAGTTCTTCTAATTTTAGTGGATGGGAATGGAACTATGGCTTCACTGGTCAATCAAGTTTTTATTTAGGTTTAATTAGACCTAAAGTGTATATATATACTTATACATGTTTATGTATTACTTAAACAACCCTATGTGTTTAAATTCTTATTTCACTAAGTTAAGGTTTTGATCAATGTTCTCTACAAAAGGTGACAAATTTTATTTTACTATGTTGAAGATAACTATTTGCTGGTTCTATAGAAACTTTGTTCATTTCATTTGGACTAAAAATAAATTTTCTACAAGTTTTACAAATTAATGGCTGCTCTATGTTAGTAAATCCTTATATGAATATTTAGAGACTTTTACTACACAGCAAGTATATAATCTTATTTCATAACTTGGAAATACATGTTTTAGTGATCCTACATAACTTAAGTTTATTCAAATTGAAGCTAAATTGGGTTCTACATGAATTTCTAAAGTTTAGCTTATCTAAAACTAATCATTATAGAGATAATAGTTTTAGAGGCATTTGATGCAAAGTAAGTCATTACTTTTATTTAACCTAATCAGAGAGTGTCTGATGATGAATCTGCAGTTTTTGAGTTTGTTTCAAAATGAGTTGAAATGAATTTTCTATGTATTTTATAAGTTTGTACATGTTTTATGCATGACTTATCTTAGATAAATCTTAGAGACATTATTTGTACAGTGAGTGTCAAGTTTTATATCCCTGGAATAAAGTTCATAACTTCAAGAATCTACAGCAACTGGAATCACTTCAAAATGAGCTATATTTGATTTTATATAGATTTTACAACTTTGTGCATTTTTCTGCTAAACATATAATTGTTTGGGCATTTTCCTAATTTTTCTTCAGATTTTAAAGGATGGGTCCATATGGCTGTGAGGGACCAATATGCACAAAGGCCCTTGAGTTTTCTAGGAATCAACCCGCAGTCCTAGGCCCATATGTCAGTGTGTTTCTACAATTGTAAACGGATCCCTGCACTTAATCTAATTCACGAAAGTCATCCCTCTGCTCTAGACATAGCAGAGCTAGCCATGGCTGAGCTCGATCTGGAGCTCGCCGGCGGCAAACGGTGGCTCGTTTGAGGTTGAGGTCAAAAGATAAAATGAAGAGCAAGCTCTCGCGATTCCATTCCTCTAGTTTTCTTGGTTAGAGGACATCGGAGTAGCGCCGATGGCGAGTGTGAGCGGCGGTGGTTTTGGGGTGAAAGTGCATGTGCGCATGGAAGTCGATTACGAACGAAAAGGATGCATGCATGCGGTCTTCTAGACTTCAGGATGCTCACCGTGGGTCGAGCTAGGGTTGTCGAGGTCTTGGCGGCAGCGGTGACTTGTGGAACGGCTCGGCGACGGCGCTCCTCCTCGGGTGAACGACGACGGCTCGAACGGGACAATGAGCTGCTTCAAGCAAGCATGCACGAGGGTTGTGAGGTCAAGGAGATGGTGTATGCGCAAGGAATCGAACAATGGCTCACCGAGGCAGCGGTAATCGACGATGACGGCGGAGGCGATCCTAGATTGGCGCCGGTGAAGAAAAGGATGTGTTCTCCGTGTTCTTGATGTTTTCGGCTGGGGTTCTTGAGGTGTTTTGAAGAGGAGGTTGAGGCGATGACAATGGCGCAGCGGCTTTCTCTGAGGTGGATGAGAATGGCCGGACGACGACGATGGTTGAAGCGGCGGCGCACCGGTGCGTGCTCCAGGGCGTCGTCGGCGTGGTCGCGTTCCGGTGGCTGTGATGCACAAAACGGGAGGTGGTCAAAAGAGAAATGGTTCGGCACTGTGTGGAGAGATGGGAACGCGAAAGAGATGGAGGTGACCTTGACTCAAACGGAGATGGCGAAGGTCGTCGTCACTACGACCGGCGGCGAGGTTGAGGATGACGGAGAGGCTGAGGACCTCTCCCTCAGCTTCTTCAGCTTCAAAGTGATGTGTGGAGAATGGCGACGCGTCTGGGAGGAGTAGAGAGCGAGTAAAGGGAAACCGAGATCGACGACACGTTGCGGCCACGCGTCGGCTCGCTCAATCTCTCCCTCTCTCGGCTGGAACAGTGGAGGAAGTGATGGACAGAGTCAAAGCAAGCTTAAGAGGCTGTCAGGTGGGACCAAGTCGTGGCAAACTAGGCTATGGTGAGAGGGTTGGGTAAGATTCTGGGTAAACTTGAGTTTTAGATCATTTTTTCGGAATTATTTTCTCCTCTAACTTTGTAACTACATAATTCAATGTGTAGACCAGAAGAATTAGTGTAGATTTTACTGGTGGTAGATGATTACACCTAGATTCCATTTTCTTTGGTTGCACTCAAAAATAATGGGTGGACTGCTCACAGAAATTAAACAAAGATGGGCTATTAGAAAGCTAGATTGAATTTTTAGGAGGCTTAAACAGAGGAGGAAAAATCTAGAAAAATTACATTTATTCATGATAACTAATCTAGTATTTGAATAAATTATTTCCCATGTTCACTTATGTGCAGTTAAATGTACTTTTGGATGAAATATGGTTTTAGCCGATTAAATTTAATTTGATTTCTTTTAGTTGTCTGCTTCGACCGATTAATTTGAGATTTCAACTTGAGTGTTAACATGTTACCAAAATTACAGAGGATAAGTTTGTGCTAATCACTGTCCACATAAATTTTTCCATGATTTTATCTTGCACAAAATATTTTAGAGAATTAGGATGACCTTTGTTTGTATATGTATTCCCACTTCATAATTGCATCTAATATTATTATAGGGATTACATTAAATTTCTTTTAGACTGAGAAGATGATATTTGAGTTTAATATTAAGTCCATATGTTATCACCCAAGATTAACAGATTAACTATAGGTTTGTTTAGTGAAGTAATTCTTTTAGATTATGCTCATGGGATCTATTATGGAATGCAAGACCAAAACTCCAAATGCACAAAGAACTCGAGCCTAGGCATGCATTATGTACATGTATGCTTGGTGACATTTCTAGTCTAATGTTGGGAATGAAAAGATTTTATTTTGTTCTCAAATTTTAATCATGCAATGGTTTAAGTTGATCTTCACCTAAATTAAAATGGAAATTTTTGGCTCTCTCTCAAAATTGGAGAAGTTAACCTCTAACTATTTTGACAAGAAATTTTAAGTCCTAAAATTTCGGGTATGTTACATACCGTGAACCGATGACTTATAGAGATTACCAAAAATAATTTATAATAATCTATAAGAATTCATCTAATTGTTTAGTTATTAATTATATCTAAATTACTACCAATTTTAATCTAATCTGATCAAGACACATATTCTTATAATTAACTCGGAATTTCGACCGAAATACTATTACGCTCGAGGAATTTACTCCCCCGCAAGCTCCTCTTTCGGCACCTTCAAAGTCAAGGGCCCCCCCAGCTCCACCGCCTGCCCACACAAGGGCAACGAAGAAGGCGAAAGTTGACGCCGCCAAGAACAAGGACCCGGGGTACGATTGCACGCAAGAGGAGCTTGACGCTTACGTTGCATCAGAAGTCAAGAGACAATTCAAGCCTCGAAGTCCAGAAAAGAAGATTCCTATAGACCCTAGTGTCAGGAACTTCTTCAGGGGTATGTCTGCATCTGTCAAGGAGGCCATCAAGCTATCGGACTATGAGCGAACGCTGAAGAAAGCATCTTCTGGAAAGTCCAAACTAGTCCCTCAGCTTGGAGAGCAACCAAACCAGGAGATCGAGCCGTTGGTGACCGGTAAAGAAATGACGATAGAACAATTTATTACTGACACCGGTCTAACTACGGATCAATTGCTAGGAGTCGCACCAATCGAAAAGGCGGAAGTGAAATACATGTACGAACTCGGTAAACCGCTTGTCAAGCCTGAGCTGCTGCAGTCCCTACCCACACAAATGTACAAGTTCCATCAGCTGTACATGGAGATGAGCGCCACCGGTAGAGAGATGATCGGAGCGAGGATCAGGGACACGGACTTCTTGCAAGGAGATGACATTCTCTGGATCAATTTCAGGGGAATCTACGAACTATACCAGCTGGACGCCCTCGACGTCTCTATTATGAGTTGCTGGATTTTGTAAGTATATCGTTCAGTTAGATTTCTTACTATACGTCTCCATTAATTAATTAGGTCCTTGTATATAAGTAGACCATAGAAAATAATATACTCCCTTTTATCGTTGTAGAATGGAGATTCAAAGGGCCCGACGGCGGAGGGTTTTCGATACTGGATTCATCGACCCTCGGAAAGTAAACGTCGCAATGCTCGACCAATATCCACAAGAAACAGAGGACAATCTCATCCATCTCCTGAAGGCGCAGCATTACAAGACGTTCATACTGTTGCCATACAACACAGAGTTAGTTTAATTTTACTGTCTTCCTACATACCAAATTTCATTCCCGTACGAACTTGCTAAGTGTTTCATATGTAATGCATCCCACGCACATTGCAGATTCCACTGGGTGCTTTTACTCATCGACCTGGAGGCCTGCACCGTCAACGTATATGACTCAATGGATAAAAAAGAGTCTACGTTTGACAAGGTTTTCGAACTTATAGACAGGTACCGTCATAAGTTCCATTGTTAATTAAGAAAATCTTGTTATGTTAATTGCTACTACGAATCATAGCTTTAAACTCCATGTAGGGCTTGGTATCGGTTCCGTCATTTGGTCCGCGGCAAATGGAGAGAAAGACTTAGGCGGAAGTTCAAATTTCCTGTGAGTACACATGCTCTACATTTATATTTCTCCGATTCAAATACATACAAGTGTATATTAATTAGATCTCTCGTTGTTTGTCATTTATTTGTAGTGCGCAAAGCAAAAGCAGGGAACTAACTTGTGCGGCTATTACGTGTGCGAGTATTGCCACTGCCTTGCAAACCAAATCATCACCACAAGAGAGCTCGATGTACGTACAAATAAATTCAAAATTTCATTACGTAGCGATTTCTTGTTTAATTACTAATCAATTTCATACATTCATATAGTTTATTCGCATGAGGGATAACCTGACCACACACAAGGAATTTATCGCGGCGGTTCAAGAACAACTCATGGGATTCATCAACAAAGAAATCCTTGATCCCAAGGGTGAATTCTACTACGACGGAAACACAATTCACCGGTCCTTAGCTTCTGAGCTAGCAGCGAGTACTACTACGTCGAAATCGTAGCTAGCTAGGACATATAATGGATTGTAATTAATACATGACTACATATGTTTCTATATGCATGTGTACACATTTTCTATAATGTAAATATATTTTGTTCATATATATATCTATATACATATGCATTTGCATAACATATATATGTATAAATACATATATATTATGCATGTATATACATATAATATAATATAATATATATATATATGCATATATATATGTATGCATATATATGTATTGAAACATATATATGCATGGTTTATATATATATATATATATATATATATATATATATATATATATAAACCATGCAGCAACAGGGGCATGCAAAAAAAAAAGGTCAGCTCGATCTTTAGTCCCGGTTGGTGTTACCAACCGGGACTAAAGATCGATCTTTACTCCCGGTTATTTCACCCGGGACTAAAGATAGCGATCTTTAGTCCCGGATTGGTACTCCCGGTTTGGAAACCGGGACTAAAGGGGGGTTACGAACCGGGACTACAAAGGGTTTCTCCACCAGTGAGGTAACACTACTACAACCATATATAGTTGACTATAAGGAGCATAGAATGCTACTCTCTCTATCCCCTAATATAAGGGATCTTGGGTGGATGTTCTATCTAGATTTATTGTATTAGGATGTGTCACCTCCACTCAAGATCCTCACATCACATCCACTCAAGATCCTCACATCCACCCAAGATCCCTTATATTATGGGACAGACGAAGTATGACGATGGTGCTTAGATAGACAATATCATAACTCGGTGGAAATCCTACTAATTCATTGGGTGATAGGAACTGTCGAGGGGAGACCCTCTCTAGCGGGTGATCGTGAGACCCCCTTTTGTGAGTTCGGCCGAGGGAGCGAGTGAGATTCGAGGTCCCTCGAGACAAAAGAGACACAAGGGATTTATATAGGTTCGGGCCGCTATGAAGCGTAATACCCTACTCCTATGTGTATGATGATTCTTCTATGCTTGCAAAGCCTCTGAATCTCACATGTACAAGTTAGGGTTAGAGAAGCTTTAGTTTGGGGATCCAGAGTCCGATCCCCTTTCTCGCTAGGCATGGTCCTCCTTTTATACTCTAAGGGGATCCCACATATGCTGCGAGTGCTACCTAGGGAGAAGGGAAAATATTGTCTATCTTAATTACATGTCTTGTGCCTTAGCCCAGAAGATATCTACGTGTCGACTGCCGCGTGGGGCCCATCAGATCATGCGGGGCGCCCTTGTCATTTGCCGTTTAATGGTTGAGGACTTCCGGGTTCCCGTTCACACCAGGAAACAGGTACCCGGGTCAGTTCAGAGTGGTTGGACCAGCTCTAACCGTGATAAGAGGCTGTGAAGCCCCTCATCATTATGATGGGACGGGATGGAGCACGCCGCACGCCGCACGCCGCCTGACACACTGACAAGGCGAGGGTACACAGTCGCCGTCCCATCGGTCATTCGACCGGTCACAGACCGGTCAGATGCGCAGCACGCCGCATTAAATGCAGCATGGCGCGGCTGCATAGACCGCTTTAAATGTGGTTAGGTGGGCGTTAGGCGTGCCCACCTAACCCTGTACACATGGGCTGATACGTGGAGGGGGTCGGGGTAGCTCGACCCCAAGCTGGGAGGGGGCAGCCGCCGCTTCACCTTGGGCTATACCCCCTTGGGGGGAGCCACGTGGGTTTGTGGGTGGCCTCCTCCCTCTAGCTGGGAGGGGGTAGCCGCCGCTCCACCCCGGGCTCGACCCCCCCCCCCCTCGAGGGGAGCCACGTGGGTTTGAGGGCGGCCTCCTCCCTCTAGCTGGGAGGGGGCAGCCGCCGCTCCACCCCGGGCTCGACCCCCCGGGGGGAGCCACGTGGGTTTGTGGGCGGCCTCCTCCCTCTAGCTGGGAGGGGGTAGTCGCCACTCCACCCCGGGCTCGACCCCCCCCCCCCTCGGGGGGAGCCACGTGGGTTTGAGGGCGGCCTCCTCCCTCTAGCTGGGAGGGGGCAGCCGCCGCTCTATCCCGGGCTCGATCTCCCTCGGGGAGAGCCACATGGGTTTGAGGGCGGCCTCCTCCCTCTAGACGTGATACCCCCGGGCCCATATCACCGACAGGAACAAACGAAGCGAAAGGAAAGCACCGCAACCAGGGATATCGCTGTTATCAACATTTCGATCCATTTTAAATGACTAACAAGAGACAATGTGAGTTTCATATCCATATAGTAGGAAAAAAAACGGATTTCAACCTTAAAAAGTTGTAATCAGTAAAACAAGATTACACCACCAATGCCTACTAGTGTCATAGGCTGTGTTCGGGAGGAGGGGTCCCCGGCACACAAAATGAAGCTCGTATTATTGCATGATTAATTAAGTATTAACTATTTTTTCAAAAATGGATTAATATGATTTTTAAGGCAACTTTCATATAGAAAGTTTTTGCATAAATCACACCATTTAGCAGTTTGAAAATCGTGCGCGTGGAAAACGAGAGAGGTGGGTTGGTAAAATGGGGAGGAAGAACACAGCCTAAGCGTGACCTATTGTCGCCAGACCTAAAGGGGGTTGCAAACTTGCAACACCCCACCGAACACCAACTACACATAGAAGATCATTGACAAGCTCCCGATCATCCTCACATAGATGGGTTGAGGAGGGAGAGGGTGAGAGAGTGAACATCTACTCATCTCTCGTGCCAACCTGATGGTGAAAACCAAGAAATCACTGAAGACTAAGTTGAGGGCATGCGACAAAGGCGAGGAATGAACACCTCTATGATAACGTCTCCAGGGAAGTCAAGACGCCTATGACACCATAATCGTCCATCCAAGTGGACTAGGATTTCATCCCGAGAGTCATGTCAGGAAGGGGGAGGGAGGCAGCTGAGCAATGCACAGAGGGATCACGACACCCGAAGACATCATCGTTGTTGGCTTAGGTAACCCCGAGCTAGGCTTTCACCTGTAGCACCCTCTCCTGCACTCATCGTCACCACCCAAAGCTTCGCCACCCAATCAAGCTCTACTAAGCTACAGCTCTGCTTCACTAGCGCCACATTGCTGATCAACCCAGACCCACAACCACAACCTCCCTCGACCCATCAAGATGCCATCTCCCATGAAGCCGCTTAGCTAGATCGCCCTCTTCCCCAGCCACCACCACCATCGTCTCACCAAAAGAGAACCGGAAGGAGTCAGCCATAGGAGGGGAGGAGCTCCATCGAGAGGAAATAGGGGTGCGATTGGTTAGCATGGACAAACCTGCCATGCTTGCCTAGGCGAAGCCAACGGCATCATCTCAGCCGCCGCCGTCATCCGCGTCCGCTACCGGTGCACCTAACCACCACAAGGAGCCATACCTGCCATCGTCCACACCAAACGCCAACCTGTACCATGTGCATCAGTTGTCTACTATCGTAGCTGCGCCGACCTCACCCACTGCCATTCGCCGCATCGGCCTCTCCCGACACCCTCGGCCGCTTTGGCCTCTCTCGTAGCCCTCGGTTGTGCGTGCCTCTCTTGGCGACTAGGCCACACCAGCCTCTCCTGCAACCCTCAGCTACGTCGGCCTCTACCATCGCCATCGGTCGCGCCGGCCGCTTGCTACCATCACCCACGGCAACCCCAACCTCCCCAGTCGCTCGCTCCCACATCCGCTCGACCACGGCCTAGCCTGACGTGGAGGTGTTGGATCCGGTCGTGGCGGTGATGGATCCCTAGTCTCCTGCGCCAAGTACGCCGCAAGGCCCGCAACTGCCTCTGGTGCACCTAGAAGTATTGCTTGGACAGGAACGCGTTGTTCAATATTTATGACGATTGCAATACTTTTATATATTTATTCCATATTGTATTCCCTATAATCATATAAAATTTATTTGCTGCACTTCAAAACAAATAACTAAATGTGGATGTGTTCTCAATGAAGTTCTATTGTTCAAATACAATTCTACTACCTTCATTTCATATTATAAGATGTTTGGCATCTCTATCCCTTATCTAGATACACTAATTATATACATTTGAATTTGTATATATACATACATACATGAAGCACGTACATAAATCTATGAATGAATCTATTTAAGACCTAAAATATCTTATAATATGAAATAGAGGAAGTACATCTTTAGAATCTACTTATTAAGTATTTATTAAGACAAACACTCATGAGTATGAAAGTATGGTCTATATATGAGTGTTGAAGGTTGTGTATGTGCACACATTAGTTTTTTATATATTATGAGAAGTTCTAAATAGCACGAGTAGAGACCGAACACATTTAATCAATATCAAGTTTTTGCCTTTTCTACTCCAATATGCCAACCACTGAGCCTCAACGGTCACCATAAATCCCATTTTTAGCACTAGCCACAAATTCACCTCAGCATAACAAATTCACAAATAAATGTGGTGATAGAGATAAGCAACCGGCAACCACATTAGCAGTAAACCACAGCCTTGTCCGCGCGATAAGATAGTGTACTTAATTAACCCCATACAGTTAATTTACCTTGTTAGCAGTAAACCAATCATTTTAAACCCCAGACAGTGCAAAGTTTCATATTGATATGGTAGAAAAAAAAATACAAGATTACAAACTGGGATATCGTAACCAGGAAAAAAACAAAAACAACCAGCACCTTCGCATGTTGGCCACACCTCACACAACCTAGGAGAAAACACAAGCGTCAAGCCGACCGCCGCTAGAGCTAAGGGGAGTCAAACGCCCCCCACACACCAACTTCATATGGAAGATCGTCAACAAGTTCTCTGACAGAGCAGGGGACTAGGGTTCGCCCCCCGTGCCACCTGCACAGAGAGACGACATGGGGTCTGTCCGGACTAGGAATAGCTTTGCCGATCTAGCTAGGTGTAAACTAGTAGACTCCTTTATTTTTTGCAAGTATTAAGGGCTTTCTACATTTTCAAATTTTCGACCTAGTTCAAAATTTCAAAATGTTTTAGTACAGGCCAAAGTGAAAGAATGAACTCTAAAGAATATAGTCGAACAGTTCCAGAACTACAAGTCAGATCTATACAAGAAATACATCCTGAAGGGCCTGACACCTGACTTCAACAAATTCACCAAGCTAAGGAATCATTGGGATGTGTTTGTCGCATACAAGACAGAAGAGCACGGGCAAGTGCAAATAGAAAAAGAATAAAGCCAATGCCGCTAGGAAGCAGTACCATCACCAGCTAGGGTCAAGCGGCTATAACAAGGCAGTTGCCAAGTGGGAGAGAATGGAAACTGGATTGCTAGAAAGAGGTATTGTTCCAGCCACAGCTAACTGGCCTGAACGATCAAAGCATTGGTACTATGCTCACAGTGGAACGCTCAATCCCAGTGATGGGTCCTTGCTATTAAGTGATGAGATTCGCGAAGCAGCAAGCTGACTTATGGATGCAGTAGAGGCCTCTGCTCAGGGAACATTCTAGCCCGACAAAGAGAAGGACGAGCATACGCTCGCACTACAAAATCCCGAGCATCTAGAATAAACGCGAGGAAAAGACGTGGTTGTTTGGAAATATGGATTTCAAGAGGACATCCACACGTACAAAAGTCGCATGAGGAGCAAGAGAGATACCGAGACGAAATTAGTAGATCTTGAGTATAGGCTTGCGACCCATGAGCTAAGGATGCAAGAGGAGGTGTCACGACATGTGGACCAACGCCTGGCCGAACAGTAGATCCAACAGACTCAGCCGTCTGTTCCTCCCGTCATGGTGAGCCCCTCAGGCAATCGCAACAACTGCGCTTCTACAGGGCAAGTAGGAGAACAGGGTGCAGAAGCTGCAGCAGGGCCCTCTCACGACAAACCACCCTACCCGGTTGATGAAATCACGCGGAGGACACCGTGTGACATGCATATTCCCTTTAGGAACTTATCAATCAAGGTATGCGCGTAGTTTTATGATATATGACATGTACATTGCGAAAGTTGGTGTATATGTCAATTACTAATTAACCTCGATTCTCATGAAGGTGGCGTCGGGCATGGCCATACCAGTGGACCAAAATGGGACATTTCATTGCAGGTCGACTCCACCTTGGTACTCAAAGGTCGAAGTTGAACTGGTGGAAGAAGGCTTCGAGGATCTCGAGCTAGACATCCCAGAAGGAGACAGGGAGACGAAACTAGGAGACACAGCCCCACACCATTATACTATAGTGCAAGTACTACATCATGTTTCCCGGGCGAAAAGCAGCGTCCTTTCCTCCGCCTGCACCGTCTCCTCCACGAGCACCAACTCCTCCACGAGCACTGACTCCTCCGAGGTCTCCTCCGTGAGCACGGACTCATCCGATGTCTCCGCTGCGGGTATCGTCTCATCCATCTTCAAGTACCCGAAAGTCGTGCCCACTTCGTCCCATGCCGTCAAAGTCCACAAAACAAACGAAGAAGCCAACACTTAACAAGCCAAAACTCCCCGCTCTCAAGAAAATGGCGTACGACTGCACTCCCGAGGAGACTGACAAGATCATAAGAACAGAAGTGAAGGCGCACTTCAAGCCAGGGAGTCTAAAAAAGAAGACTCCTATAGACCCGTCAGCTAAGAAGTTCTTTCAGAAGATGAGCGCACCAATCACACATACCTTACTATCGGACTATGACCGATCAATAACGAAGTCTTTTAAGAAGACAAGAGGAAAGTCCAAAGATGTCCCTCAGCTCGGAAAGCAACCAAAACAAGCAGTTGAGCCATTGTTACCACCTGATGAAAAGGAGATAAGACTATTTATGGCAGAGATGGGTCTAAAGAGGGAGCAATAGGTGGGAGACACACAAATAAAAAAAGCGACAGAAGTGTAAAATATATATTTATACATATACATGTATAATATATAAACAAGCAGCAAGTAGAACAAGCAAATTAAGAAAAATGGAAAAAGATCTGGACTAAAGGTGGTTCCAAACCAGAACTAAAGATAGGTTCCTAGCAGTGGCAATTGCAATTACACATTAATTGAGTGGTCAAAATTAGGAGTTCGATCGTCACTAGGACAACGATGATAATTGTATTGTATCATATACATGTTTATCCAAAAATATTGCTACATCAGCAAAAATTGCTCACGTAGGACTTACGAGCAGTAGGGTGCATATGTCTGCTAGTCCCCTTCCTACCGTATGTTGGTCCCCATTCCCTTCCTTCCGTATAATGGTCCTGATTCCTGAGAGAATCACGAAAGCAAGTGACTGCACATCATCATCACATTCTGGGAAAGGTGGCTACGTCCCAACCACTAACCATTATATGCCTTCAACCACCCAAAAGTGTTGCCCAAAATCGGATGTGATTTGTAATGACAATTATACATGGATTTTTTCCTCATGTATTTGCAAGTTCCAAGGCGTTTAAAACTGTACAGATACCATATAGAATGTGTCAAGGGGAATGCTCAAGATTGAATCCCAAGTTAATTGTATAAACAAGCCATCTTTCAACCTCTGGATGACTTCTAGTTTTATCCTCATACTACTGTAAAAAAAAAAGGTTTTATCCTCAAACTACCGTGGAAAAAGAGTAGAAAATATAGTTTAAGTTCAGCTGAAAGATGGAGAAGTCATTTTGCCCCTTAAGAAAATGCCCCCTTATTTCTTGTATTTTATCTAAACGGTTATGAAAAATTTTCAAACAAAGTAACTAGGTTCATGCCCGATATATCACTCCACACACATGCTCTGGACGTTGTTGACCAAAAATTTGTGCTCGGCCGATGGTGCCGGATCTGTGTTGGCGCGAACTAAATTGACGAACACAACGGCCTGGGAGATCTGCTTAGCTCTAGTGCAGGTTCAAACCTTGGTGAGATGTGGGCGTGCCAGTCAATTTGATCCTGCAACTGACAAGATATATAAATTAAAGATCACCAGAGAGCCGATCGGCTGACAAGCTGATGGAGTAATTCTAGCCGATACCGATACTAGCTGATGCCGATAGGGTTTTGAGCAATCAGCTATATGTCCAATGTAGATGATTATATAAAGACAATCGGCTGATGAGAATAAAACAACAATATAATCCAATAGAAACCAATCGGTGAACAATGATATGATAGAATAAGTGATCCGATGGTTAAAGCATATATCGGTTAGAGGTCCGATATCATTAAATCAAAAGATTAGATAATAAATGAAACTTTTGTTGCGATCAGTTAAAACCAACTTGTATACGATCCTTGTAAGCCGATGCAACGTCCAAATAACTTATCGGCTAAAACCCCGATGAAACCCTTATTATAATAAAAACATGTTAGCCTTTATAACTCTAAGCACGACTAGAAATGATGCATCGCAAAGTATGCGAAGAAGTCATAAACATAATGTGCATAAGAGCATACATACTGATCCATTGCAAACCAAATTCTAAATTCGTATGGTTGACGGAAAGAACCGATCAAAACAGAAGGGACAACCTTGCTAATAATCGATGGTACTATTAACATAACGATCAATCACATAAACATAAAAAAAAGAATATAAAATGCAGTGATGAATTTTTTTCTAATACCTGCAAAGCATATAATTGGAATAGTACTCATGATCAGATATTACACACTAATACAAGTTTTTGAATTTTCTTTTATATTAATGAAGACTTGCGTGCATAAACACCACTGTGCAAGTACACATCCATAACTGCGTAATCTTAACACTTGCTCAAAAACATGGAGATCAGCGGCACTGAAATTTAGTTAAAAGGGCACACACACGTGTGCAGTATGGAAAAATGGGAATAAAAACTTAGAAGTTAGAACTCTACTAGACTGTGTTTAGTTTCTAAAATTAGAGAGAAGTTTAGGAAAAGTTAGGAGTTTGGAAAAAAAGTTAGGAGTTTATATGAGTAAGAAAGTTTTAGATGTGATGTGATGTGATGGAAAGTTGGGAGTTTGGTGTGAACTAAACAGGTCCTAGATAAAATCATACACTTATTACTCCAACACATTTCTAATGTTGAATGTTCAAATACTCACGTGCCTGACCAAGCCATTAAATGGACCATCACATTTATGAGTGATATATGGCTGCTATGAACTCTGAAGTATCGACATTACTGTATTTTAGAAGGCAAATTAACAAGATAAATAACTTTTTAATGGTAAAGAACAGAATCCCGTCCATCATTATCCATGTGGTATCCTCGCTTGCTTCTCGCACACACACCACACGTCGGCGTGTGACGATGCTCTCAGGTGATCTACGCATGTGTGTATGGAGTATGGACACTCACACATGCGGGCTTTAGGGACTTGGCTTGTGATACATGTGGGTCGTGCTAAGCCACACTGTGTCCCTTTTCTACTTTTTTTATTTTATCTATTTTTAAGTTAAACTCAATTACATACAAATCTAAAGTTTCCAATCAAACATTTAAAGGTTACATGAATTGATAGTAGCATGCTATATTAGAATGGTACCCACATGTACCAACACCTGGGTACATCAAACTTGGTATCAACATATACCATGTCTGGCACTAAGTATTATGATACCTATAGGTATAAGTAATGATACGTGTAAGTATTTTATCGCGAGCGCTAAACGAGCCAAGGAAAGCAGTGGGCTAGCAACCCAACACCATCTCTAACACTAAGAACTCTAACCGTGCGTGTGTGTGTTATACTCATCCGTGGCATGCAGCCTTCTCTCGATTCTCAATTTAACTCATCCCCTTCATCTACTCGTCACCTCATGCCGCTCCACTCAGTCAATAATCTCAACATTTAGAATGCTCTAGCTATGTGTTTGGTTGATTGTATGGAAGCATGGAACCAATTTGCAGTTACAATGTGATAAACACATAATGGAACTAGTGATACATTTACTTTTATGTACGCAGGTTTGATACTCAGATTGTATGCAAACATTTTCAAACTTGAACTAATATTGCTTTGAATGTGTTGGGCTGTTAGCTCACAAGTTTAACAAGCCAACAAATGGGTCAAGCCAAGTTAGGCTTCCAGCTTGTTAGGATAATGAGCCGAGCTAGGTTGGCTCGATATACGAACATATCTCTAGTGATGAATGTAAATATGTGTGCCAAGTACCAGTAATGATATGTATAAGTACCAACAATGATACTTAATAGGTATCGATGATGATAACTAGCAGTGATGATACTTGATCATATATATTAGGATACCAGGATGATATGGAGGTTTGTCGAGATGTGGGCAAGCAATATGCGCAGCTAGCTAGCCCACATCATGCTCACGCTTTTGTACTCACACAAGCATTTTCTTCATTTGTTCATACCGACGCTGGCCACAACTACCTAGCTAGCCGCGGAGTACATAGGTAGGCTCATGTACCGTGGCGTATGCGTGTTGGGCAACTCGTCGAGCATATGCAAAGAGCCAAAGATACCTCGTGACTATGTGAGAACTATTCCATAATAGCATCTCCAAAAATCTGACTCCCTAAATAAACATTTAGCCAGCCTACCAACCAAATAGATTTTTCACTCCAACAAACTTTCTATTTACACTCTCCAATTTAACTATGGGTCCCACCCGTCATTCTGTGTATACTTCTTCCTCCTCCCTCCAGTCTTCCTCCACGAGTAGTACTAGTACAACATCGTTTTTTCCCCGTCCCTGCCTCCTCTGCCCAAGCCGCCGGCGCAGCCATCTGTCCTGCTTCGAGATGTAGCTGGTGACGGAGATTGGCTGATGTTTTAGCTGAATATTTTAGCTACGTCACTAGCCCAATTACCGAATCATTGGTTATAATCATTCTTGCCAATCTCGTTGAACATCAGCTACAGCTCCGGGAATGGAGACAGTGGCGCCGGATGTGGCTGGTGACGGAGGCGGTGGACGATGCAGCAGCGTCGGACTTGGTCGGGGACGGAGGCGGCGCTGCCGGTTGTGGCTGGGGACGGATGCGACGGTGGATGCAGTAGCGCTGGACTTGGTCAGGGACGGAGGCGACGACGCCAGTTGGTGTTGGGGACGGAGGAGGTGGTGGATGCGGCGGCGCCGGATGTGGACGGGGACGGAGGCGGTGGCAACGGTTGTAGCTGGGGACGAAGGCGGTAGTGGACGCTGCAACGCCAGACTTGGTTAGGGACGGAGGTGGCCGCGCCGGCTGTGGTTGGGCACCGAGGCGGTGGTGGACGCGGCGGCACCGGATGTGGCCGGTGGTGGACACGGCGGTGCTGGATGTGGACACGGACGAAGGCGGCAGCGACGGGCTGTGCGGGAGTCGAGAGCGAAGGAAGAGCCGAAGAGGGGAGCGAGACGTGTGGGAGAGGGATAGTGCGTGGGGCCCGCAGTTGGCTAGCGGGTGTGGCTGGCTAGATTTGGCCAGTTCCGTGGGATGTTTAGCCAG